AGGTGTCAACAGGCGGTATAAAAAGCACCCCCTGGATTTCGTTTTCCGCAGCACACGACCAGCGAGAAGCACCAAGGAAAATCAACCATCGACAAATTCCGAGCGTCTCCAACGCTCCCGGAAAACAAAAAAGAAGAAGAAAACAAAGAATGTGTGTTCCCACCAGCTGACAATCTCCCGTATACGTCAGTGCAGAATATAGTGAACGAAATTGATCGATTCGTCACGCTCCGATTCCCGATTCCTAGAATCTACCCCCGAATCCTTTTATCAGGCGAGTTTGCACGCCCCCGGCGGACAATAGCCATGGTCGCAAGCGAAGCTGCACAGTCCCTTGTAGGAGTCATCGAGTCCATTTGCGGGCACGCCTCTCTGGCCTGTTGATGGTGGTGTCAGGACTGGGGCGCCGTATGCGTTGCAGGTGCAGGGTCCTGGCGGGCAGTAGCCATAGTGGCAGCAGAAGTCGCAGAGACCTTTGTGGTTGTCTTGGCCTGTGCCACCGGTGCAGACAGTTCCTGGGGGCTGATTTGGGGGAGGATTGTTTGGGGGAGGGTTGTTCGTTGGTGGTGATGGTGGGTTTGGGTTGTGGTAGGGGGCGGTGGAGGAGGGGGATTGTTGGTTGGGGGAGGGTTTGGAGGATTATTGGTTGGGGGAGGGTTTGGAGGATTCGTCGGTGGGTTTGGAGGGTTGGTAGGTGGGTTGGGATTGATTGTTGATGGTGGAGGTGGTGGTGGTTTTAGCGACGGTCTGGCTTCGCATTGCACCTTGAGGCCTTGGGCGAAGCGGGCGAGACTGTCTGGCTGGAGGTTGTCCATGGGCTCCGCGGGGAGCATCCCGACTAGAAGAGAGAGTTGTTAGTGGTGTCAAGGTGCGTTATGGTTCCAGTGGGATATACTCACCGAAGGCATTGAAGTTATAGATACCGCACACACACCCGTCGATGATATCCTTTGGACTCGTCCCGGCCAGGACCATCTTGTTGTCGCGGACCACGGCGAAGCTCTGCTGCCCGACGCCCATCGGGGCTTTGAAGGCTGTGGCTCCAGCCTTGGCCTCGAAGACTTGCTGGCTGGTCCCCGAGGAGACCTGGATCTTGGCGGGGGACTTCAACATGGAGACGACGAAGACCACGTCATCCATGGACTCCCAGCCATTTGGCCGGCCCATGAAGTAATTGCCGCTGCTGTTGTCTGCGGGAACCATGCAGGTGTCGGTGGCGTCGCAGTTTGCGCCGCGGGGAGATGGTCGATACCAGTAGATCAATTGCTCGTCCTTGATATATTCGTTAACGGATGAGGCACCCGCCTTGTAGGCGGCAATGAAAGGCCGGGCCAGTTCCATCCAGCCATTATGTGGCCTATTGGTGTTAGTAGTGAAACGGTCATGAGGAGGCGCTGGCTTACATGTCATTGACATATTTGGAACATCCGTCATCTGTATGGGGAGAGGCCAGAGGGGCAATGTAATGGGATTCACCGTAGTCGTTCCAAGTGACGATTTCAATGAAGCGTGGCTTGAGGTTCAACATCTCAATCCATCGCTCATACCAAAGATTGTCCGACGGAAAGACCCAGTTCTTACTATATGGGACTTCGGGGCCAAAGTGGGTAGAGAACCAAGGCGAGACGGCTGACGGCGAGGTTAGCTCTGGGCTAGATGACATAAAGTAGGGCATAGGAATTTGCTCACGAGCGATATAGGGCTTGCCTCCCAACGCATTCATATACTTCTTATCGCCATCCTGCACGGTCACAAGATGACCGGGCTTAGGTGCCTTGTTGTTCCCGTCGTTGGGCCAGGCCATCCAGTTCAGCAGAGCATCCACTTTGGAGATATCAGCGCTCTCCGGTCGGTGGTAGTTCGGAGCCCAGTAGATGGGCCGACCAGCAGCAGAACGGATCGCGTTGACATCCACTCGGTCACCAGCAAACGATGAGACGAAAATCTTGCCGTCCATCATGAGCTGCGCCGGCTTTCCCCCAAACTTGGCAATCTTCTGGCCAACTAGAGAGGCCTCTGAGTCTTCCTTCCACCAGTTGAAGTCGAAGGATATAAAAACCTTCATGTCATTGTTCGCGGCCGACTGGTACGCAAACTCCAATTGTGTATCTGTGAAGGGGTCGACGCGGTCCACGCCAATGTTGAGGGCGAAGGCATCGATCCCTAAGTCTTTCGCGCGTTTCATGTCGCTGTCGAACTCGGTGGCCGACTTGCGGTTGCTGACGATTCCGATCTACTAGATCGTTAGGGCTGGACGCTTGATTCTATGGAGATGGCCTACCATGAAATGGGCAAAGACCATTCGGTCCGAGGCCTGTGGCTTGCTAGTCTGATTGCCTGGGCTCGGTAGTGCGTCCACCAGGGAGCTGAGCACGGAGGCTATGCCTAGAACAAAGGGCTTGATCTTCATACTGAACAGTGGTCAAGCCTTGACGGGATAAGGTAAAGAAAGAAGATCTATGATAACGAGAGTTCCGTATGCCCCCATCCGCTCTTATATGCTTCACACCAAATCACGGAAGCCTCCACAGATGCAACCATGATGACTGTAACCTTGAATAAGGTATAAAGAATATTTCCTGAAAGACGGGGAGTAAGAAGACAACGGGACCGAGACATCAGCAGCTTTGAACAAAGAGTAGCATAATCTCCGACAGGACTAGTCGATAAAACCCTGTTGTAGGACAACCTTCTCATTCTAGATGACCACAGGTGGAGATTACTCGAGACATCAGCCGGTATAACGAGGGCAGTGAAGCAACGAGGTCGAAATTAGATTGGGCAATCCTGTATGCTTCAGTTAGCCGCTGTCCTGCAACTGGACGGACTGTTGGATAGAGACCTAATGTCTAACCGTTTAACGTTGGGCGCTAAAGGACTAGTGCACCGTAGGCGCCCTATGAAGGGTTGCTCACAGTGTTTCAAAGTTGCGGGGTATAAAGAAAAGTCGAAGAAGCAGCGTTTCACAGGGAAGATTAGGTGTGACTTTCATTTCATGTCGAAAGACTTCCGGTTGGGACGTCGGCTTAGGGTTGACATATCACATCGTATCAAAGCAGACATAAGCCAATGAACATGTGTGGTCAAACAGGAACTCGATTGAATGGAGTAGAATGAAGAGATCAACAGCGCCGCAGATCTTCGGTATCAGTCGGTATGATACGTCTAGAACCATATTGTCATACCGCAAACACATGCGGCACACGGAAATGCCGCATAGCTTGTTGCCTATGACCAACTGGAGCCTCTGCATGTATCTGTATCCACATCGAGCACAGGATACCAACACAGTCTGAATGCGTTTGTCCTGAATTCCCGACAAGATGTTCAGTGCCGAAGGGGCCCGAGGAATGGACCACACCAATGGCCCGCATCCCGCCAGTACACAAATGCTGTGTAACTCAAGTGCATCACCTGCGCTATCGGTAGCCAAGCCTCACTGGGGGTGACACACTGCTGCTGACTGGGGCAAGAACAGGATGCACGCGGTCGGGTGAGTTCTGCGCATGGCTCGGAGGAGGGAACAACCTCGCGCATTTGGGTTCGGATTAAACCTAGATCATACATCCAGGAATGGAGCAGCTGCCGGCGATTTGCCAGCTCAGTCGCATAAGCGCGATGAAGATTCAGGTATTGGTCACTTTTTACCTGTTCCAAGTGTGATTTCGAAGCTTGTCGTGCATGTGTTGTTGATCTCTGGGGTAGGCCATCCAGTCATTCGCAGTGCACATACCCGAGACGGCGAGACTCACTGCAACCACGGGATAGCGAGTGAGAGCCAAGACGTATCATCCTTCTTTGGACAGCAATTGTTGCTATTCACGTCGTACCCCCTCCACTTCTATTTCCAGTCGAAGGAAAAGTGTTCACGCGACTCTGCACGGCGTAGGATTCTAGAAAAGTCTCGTCACCAGGTCTGCCTGCTGATTAGTGGAGTATATGCAGTTGAAGCATTTGCCGAGTGTGGCGTGCAGATCTGTAACTTGGAACTGAATACCGGGTCTTCTTCAACGTAATTACCCTCTCATCTGTTACATTGGATTTGGGTTGTGACAGAGTCAGTGCCCAAGCACCCGCTGGGGAGGGCCGAATTGATCGAATGACGTTCTTGATCATCTCCAATACAGGATTTATTCTCTCAAGACGGTAGCAACGGCTTCAGACACTTATGCATGGACGTGTCGGTGGCGGTCGTCCGGCTGCAAATACCACATCGGGGTGAGCTCAGCATGAATATGTAGTCCTGTATGTTTCCTGAACACGCTGTGCTGCTATGTATATCAGTTTGAATGAATTCTAGGCCCAGGTTGGATCACATAGATGCACTGATTGGGTCCAAGATTTTGACCTTGATCTACGATGTTTCATTGTCGGGCTTCGGGGTCTACGTCGTCTCTGCTCCATCCGATATTGCCGAGTTGATATTGTCACACAGGAAGCACAGAATGATGACGGATTACTGAGACAATTACGTTTATGATTATAAATGAGATCTTCTTAATATAGACACTTCCGGCCGAGGTTATAGTGTCAAATCTGTCACTGTCTTAGTAGGGTGCCAGACGGAAATGGTCCATACATCATGGCACACCTTTATACCTCGTCACTGGACCGTATCCGGAGCAAGAATGAGCTAACCCCGCTAGCACCTTTTCGATATGCAAACCTGAAAAAGGCTGTGGTCGGTGGAATGCAGCTGACCATAAAGACAACCCACATTTCGGTTCTGAAGCATGTCAATTCTCCATATCGTGGCTAATCGGGTCATGTATTGTACGTACTGGTTCCACAATATCAATTCACCCAGTGTATCTGGCTCGATAGTTAGTATGGATCTTGGCTTCTAAGGTCAGAGCCTCCCGTGAGTACGTGCATGTAGTATCTTCGACTTTGGTCAAGAGCTTCAGCTTAACAGTCTTGACGATCGTACAGGCTCCCGCCCTATTGCAAGTCAATAAACACAGTTGCATCGCTGGGGGGCTCCTTACACTATACCGAGCCCCATGAGGACTGAAAGGCCAATTTTTTGTCGCAGTGAAAACGCCTGGACTTTCCGGAATATAAGCACGGGGTAAACCGCTAAGGCAAAATCACAGAATGCCGAGTACGCTAGAACAACAGCTTATTAGCCCTAAATTATATTCATTCTCCTGGCGTACGCTACTCACGTGCCTGGATATACCCGAAGATCTGAACCCTTTTCCGCCCGGGACAACGTCCAGGTATCTGTTCATCCCAGAGCTTCTTTGCAGGGGAGCACTGGAGAAAGACTAGAATAGCAGCAATCACATTGACGATGAAATTACTTCCGGCGATAAACCAAAGAAACGCCCTCTTGGACTTTGTTTCGTACTCCTGGAGATGCTCTATAAAAACCACAAGGGCAACCTTCCCAAGGCCAATAGCGATGAGAGACACGGCTTGACTAGTCCAACCAAACAACAAAGCATTCCTATCATCGTTGTATGTTAGGGTAGCTGAGGGAGTTCCGACGCCGTATGCTGCTCCCACAGTGATCAACGCCATGCTTGCAATGCCAAAAATCTAAGTCTCGTCAGTCCTCAGGCTATATGCTGAACAGAGGGACCTACAAAAGTAATGATCGCCAGAATCAGGTCAGGTCCGGTATATCGAACAATCTTCCAGGATGTATAGCACCTCGCAGACAATAGAATCAGTGCCAAGCCAGTCTCAACCCAGGTCACGATGAAGAATGGCCGACCAAAGCCAGTCTGCGGATGGTTACTCATTGACCACTAGGTCACCTGTGAAATGGCTGTCTGTAGCAGTAAGGATATAGCAGTAAAGAAACCCAATGTCTGTAGTTGGACTTCCAACATGGGGATTGTGTCTCCGTCCATGGGGTGGCGGCCAGACTACGCCTCCCATGTCAAGAGGAAGTATCCTCCACTGGTATGACCGTCTCAGGTCAGTCTAGCTAAACTGACTTCTAGAAACATTCTTAGGGCAAATTTCACAAGTTGTATGGAGTATTTGCGAGCAATCATGGAGTGGCGGGGGTCATGTGATGACGTCGATGAGATGGAGAACGTCATGAACTTTGCTTAGCTTTTGCAGATACCAACTTTACCAAGTCAGGCACCGGCGGGCAATCCAAGGATCTGAATGAGCGCCACGGCACGTCGTCTGATTTTGAAGCCAATCAAATACAAGGCGGCAGCATACCCGTTGCATATTGGGAATGTCATCGTGTTCGGCCTAATGGCGGCGAATCGGCCATTCACCAAACAAGGGACATCTACCTTAAACAGCGAAATATTTACTTGTCATGAGAAATACTGCGAAGGATCGAAGAATTCGCCTAGTTGCATGGCCCGGATGCTACCTGGATCACAACTAAAGGTGATGTATGTATGTACTGTGTACGTCACATCACTCGGCTTCGATCGTGGCTTAACTTAAACACAGTCAAGAATAACTCCCCACCGCATAAGAGTATTTAAACTCGACTAAGACTCGGCCGTTCAGCGCGATGGGGTTTCCACCAGTGGCATCCAAGAGAACGCCGGCACGGGCAGATGTCGGGATGATCACTTTTAGTCTCCCCGGCGCAATATCGACCCCAATTGGACCCGCGACGCTGAATCCCGGAGATTAATACCGGATCTGCTTCATGATGGGTCCTTTGCTCTTCGGAAAGCCGTTGCGAGATTCGAGTAATCTCCGACTGATCGGCCCGTTCCCTGCTCGTTAATGTCTGAAACTTATTGCTGATCGGTTCACTGCCTCGTCTACATCGCGTCTGGGTCGTGCTATAAAGGGACCTGAATTCTCTCACTTCGAATGAGGCAGACAACATACACCTACAATCAGCTCCTCGTTTTTGAAAGTCACCTCCATCATGCGGAACAGCTTTCTTATTTCCCTCAATGCCATTGCAGGCGCTGTCGCGCATCCGTCATTTCCTATCCACAAGAGGCAGTCGGATGTCGGCGCCTTCATTGAGAAACAGACTCCCATTGCCAAACAGGGGGTCCTCAATAATATCGGCCCCAACGGCAGTCTTGTAGAAGGGGCTGCCGCGGGTATCGTTGTGGCCTCCCCATCCAAAAGCAACCCCGACTGTTCGTACAATCCAACTCTCGAGACCGCTTCATATAGTCACAGAACTGATGATCTTTAGACTTCTATACCTGGACGCGCGACGCTGGCCTGACCATGGCGGAAGTGATCGAGCAATTCATTGCGGGAGACTCGACTCTGGAGTCTACCATCCAGAATTATGTTGACTCTCAAGCGACCCAGCAGGCAGTTTCCAACCCATCCGGCAGCCTGTCGGATGGCTCAGGTCTTGCTGAACCCAAGTTTTACGTCAACATCTCTCAATTCACCGACTCTTGGGGCCGGCCTCAGCGGGATGGGCCAGCTTTACGTGCTTCCGCCTTAATCGCATATGGCAACTACTTAATCTCCAAAGACAAGCAATCTCTTGTCAAAACCAACATCTGGCCAATTGTCCAGAATGATTTGTCCTATGTGGGCCAATACTGGAACCAGAGCACGTTTGATCTCTGGGAAGAGGTTCAGGGCAGTTCTTTCTTTACGACTGCGGTGCAGCACAAGGCCTTGGTGGAGGGCGACGCGTTTGCGAAGGCTCTCGGAGAGGAATGTGCGGGTTGCTCCGTGGCGCCACAAATCCTCTGCCACCTTCAGGACTTCTGGAATGGGTCCGCTGTGCTTTCTAACATCCCCACCAATGGACGCAGTGGGCTGGACACCAACTCGCTTTTGGCCTCCATCCATACTTTTGACCCAGCTGCCGCCTGTGATGATACTACGTTCCAGCCCTGCTCCTCTCGCGCTCTGTCGAACCATAAGATTGTGGTTGACTCTTTCCGGTCAGTCTACGGTATCAACAATGGACTAGGAGCCGGAAAGGCCGCAGCGGTAGGCCGTTACCCAGAGGACAACTACCAGGGGGGCAATCCATGGTCAGTACTATGTCTCACATTCATTCTGAACCTTTACACTAATATAGAATAGGTATCTTACTACCCTAGTCGCCGCAGAATTGCTCTACGATGCCCTGTACCAGTGGGACAAACAAGGTCAAGTGAACGTCACCGACACCTCTCTTCCCTTCTTCCAGGACCTCTCTGGCAATGTCACCACCGGATCCTATGCCAAGTCCTCCTCAGCCTATGAATCGCTCACAAGCGCCGTCAAGGCCTACGCAGATGGCTTCATCTCCGTTGTCCAGAAGTATACTCCCGAGAATGGTGCTCTGGCCGAGCAGTACAGTCGGGACCAAGGCAGTCCGGTCTCGGCGTCCGATCTGACTTGGTCGTATGCCGCATTCCTGAGTGCTGCTGATAGACGGAGCGGCACTGTTCCTGCTAGTTGGGGGTCTTCCACGGCCAATGAAGTTCCCAGCCAATGCTCGGGGGCTACAGCTTCTGGGAGTTACACTACTCCTACTGTTGGCTCGTGGTAGGTGAATGTCGCAAGATTGTATTTTTTTTTACTGTGTGTAGTCTACTCTGGTCTCGTGTCACGGCTGTTGTTTTTGCTTGTCCACATGCGGCCATACTGTGTATGTTTGTTGTATACTCGTCGCTCATTATTGTTTCAACAACAAAGATGCTATTTTTAGTACTGGCTGGACAATACCATTTTATATGGGCGATTTTGATCCATGCGCAAGACTGTCACAAATAAGTTGTGTTAAAAGGACCACAAAATTGATTACTTCCCTAGTTAGTAGACCATCCACTATACTATATAGATGATCCCAGGCCATTCTGGATCGTTGATCTCAATTATCCGACATTTGGAATATAGTGCCCCCCGGGCTATATCTCTTACAATATACCAGAATTTGTCCAAAGTATTGTATAAGAAGCTATTTTGATTTAGGATAAACAATCTTTCCTGATTCTAGAAGAGCTAAGACAATTCTGTTATTAAGAGAGGGGCGAGATAGCTCGATGAATGCGAAGCAGACGTATCCTGTTTTTGTGGTTTATATCGTGCGCTCACGGCCAGGGAGGATCCTGGGTGAGCCGACGAGCTTTCCTCACTGAGGTCTCATCCGTTTCTTGCGCGAAAGATATGGATAGTGGTTACGGTGTTTTGATATAGTTAACATTACATGTGGAGCAGTAATACAGTAAACATTTTGATTTTGTTTGTAGCTTGCTTTATTAGAGTACTGTACATATAAGAGTAATTAAGTGTGTAGACAGTAGGACAGCGAGGTCGTAGAGCACTAGCATAGTGATAATATTCAGTCTTTCGATGAAGTCTGCGCATTGAATGAGTCCTGATTAGCATAAGCCCAGAGAGCACCGACCATGTCGATCAATCCCCACCAACCCTGCTGCCTTGCACAGCCTGTTTGGCTGCCTTCCCAGGAACCTAAATAAGCTATAGAAATATAAGTATATCCGAATCTTTAGTCCCACTCCAGAAAATCCATTCACTCTGATCTCAATATATCAATCAATTAATCAATTAATCAACTTACCCCTAAAACTATGAGCAACTGGCCCATCTTCATCACAGCCCCAGAGGCCCCAATCAAAGTATGTGGCATGTCATACACAACCAACCCTAACTAGTACTTTGGCCAACACCACCAAAACCCCCCCAAACCAAGTAAATTAATTGACTAACCCTCAAACACATCTAGACAATCAACAAAGCCCTCCTCCACCTCGCAGACTACGAATTCAACTGTCCCCCGCAATGGACCCTCATCCTCACCAACCCCCCACCCACCCAAACGACGCCCTCCATCCCTCCACTCCCCATGTCAGAAGAACCCACCCTAACAGCCACCACCACGCCTTCGCATCCAAATCCCCCCACGAGATCTATGCTTACCTCGACGATCCGACCACCCAGGACCTATTCAGGGATGCGGGGCTGTCGGCCTCGAATTGGCTAGTCATTGACCAGAAGGGTCTGGAGATGGAGACTTGTTTGTTGGCTGAGTATGTGGCTCCGGAGGTTCGGGAGGAGGAAGATTGGGAGAGAAATGGTGACGGATATCGGATGTGCCGGATTCCGTGGGCGAGGGCGTGGGGTATGTTCTGTAATTTGGATATTGGGAATATGGGGTTTGAGGAGTGGGTAGATGAGGAACGTGGGCCTGTGGAGGGGGATTTTGGGGCGTGGGCCTGGGTCGGGCCATTTGAGGGGGAGGATGAGGAGGATGAGGAGGTCAGGAGGAAGAGGGAGGATGCTGTTAGGAAGGGGGTGGAGGGGGGGTGGGTTTGATTTCTTCTGCTTTTCTTTCTGTTTTGCTATATCTTGTGGATGCTTGAGTGACATGGACTGACTGAGGTATCTATATATGTACCTATATATGTACGATGTATACACCCGACAAGAACAAGGATCATGTACTATTAACACAGTCATGAACGATTAAATGGGGCATTTAGGCGAGGCTTGACTTTGGAATCCCAATGGCCGCGCTCGTCGACACAGCTTTCTTTAGGAAAACAGAAGGAATTCACGCAGGATCCTTCTTGCGCGCCACCACGGTGTATCTAGTAAAGGCTAAATACGATCCATCTCGAGTCTCCTTTGCAGCTTGAGCCAGCGTCTGCTTCATCGCTCTCGCTACTTCCTCGGTACCACTGCTTGCCTTGTTCCGTGTGAGGACCTCGGTTGCCAGTAATCCCACCTCGTGTAGCGCCAAAGCTAAGTGTGGTGGCGCCTCTCGCGCATCGGTTACGATATCAATCAGTCCTTTGTTGGCAAGGCGCTTGGCCAGGGTGGGGACCCAGGCTGAGTCCAGCCGGTTATCGTTCCCTTTGAACTGGTTCATCAACTTGACCTGCGCGTCGGCCTGAATATCCGGCCGGATCTTTTCCAGTCGGAGGGAGCTGATATCAATGTCGGTCCATTGGATATATCCCCCAGGCTCTGTAGCAGTTCAGTAAGGCCGTCCTTCAATCGCTCTGTAGAGTAGAGGGAACACTAACTTAGGAGTTTGAGGAGTCTTTCCAGTATCATATCCAACTCGTGTTCCTGGATCACAAAGGCAAAAAAGCGAAGATGGACCACATCATAGACGCCCATCAGATGCTCCGGCACGTCAGTCTTGACGTCCCATTGGTGCAAACTCACGTTGGGTGGGAGCATCTCCGGTAGAGGGGCAGCAGCAAACGAGATATCCAGGGCATCTAGACGAGCCGACTTAGGCAGCTCGCCAGCCAGGTCCGTGAGCCATATACTGCTACTTTTAGATTGGCCCTGAAGGGAACGAACGTCCATTTCATTGGCTTACCCGGTGCCTGTGCCAACATCGGCAATCCGCAGATCCGGGCTCTGGGTTGGAATGGAGGGGTGGATGCGATATCCAAACAATTGAACTACCAAATAGTGTTGCAGGTTGATCCTGTTGGTGCTAGTGCTTAGTATGTGGACTGAGTTCCCTTGCTCCTCGATGGACTTACCGGTTGTTGTCCAGGTAATCCCGGGAGAAAACGTATTCCGGAGATGAGGCCATCTTACACGCATTATATTATCTCTTCGGATTAGATATGGCAGACTCTAAAGGGGTGAAGGAACATGAATTGAGGCAGAAAGCCAGCTTAAATGTTGTGGTTAGTTGGAAAGGTGAACCAAAAATGAAGTTTCTTTGTTTCCCACTGGGCCACTGAGCAAAGAGGTACAACTTCCACTAACCCTCACTTGCATAAATAACTCGCTCTACATGAGTCAGAGTCAGCACTACCTTTAGCGTGGAGTTGTCTAGTAAACAATCCTTTGAAACCCATTAGTGGATATGACAAGGTTGCCAGGTGGTGCCGACAGGGGTCCTAACGGGGATAAGCAACCGCTCATCCACTAAGTCGCCCGGACCGACTGTTGGTCTGCTATAGCGTGATTCATAACGTTACAGTCTTAATGCCTATGTTCATAAGGGGAAGGAGGGGGAAACCAGGCCAGGAATGAGCCCCACTGTGATTGGAATCGTAATTATGTGCTAGTCTGGCCAGCGCGGCTATAGACCCTACAGTAGCCAGTTCTATACAATAAGAGACATCCGCAGAATTTTAAAGCCGAATACCAGCTTTCTTTAAACGGGAATGTACACGTGTCGTAAGCTGACTTGGTTCTTACCAGGCATATCCGATATAGCGTATAGATATGTGAAAGGAGGAGTAAGACTGAGTGCTATGCTACTTGAATATCCCTTGTTCTCTGATGTGCTGGCCGTATATCCAGGTCAACCCGTTCTAATCCATGTCGACGTCCTTGCAAGCCGGACGATTGCCATTAGTCTGAGGGGTTGTGAAAGCTTTTGTATTCAACTTATACCTAGACACAAACTACATGAGCTGCGTTATCGCTCTCACAGTGTTTTCCGCTCCACGACAGCCTTCTCAGCGTGAGGTGCTTCTGTCAACTACTATGACAAAGAAGTAGATCTAACCCCAGCTCAATGTTTTGAGAGTAGGTAGTAGTCTGGCAAGGCCTCTTTCAGCAGACTTCTTGAGTTTATCCTCTCTACATCCTTTTCTTATGTTAAATAACAGTAGTCTTGTATTATAGAGTATAGACTATTCTATACTATGTAGGCTTAAACCAAAGGATTCAGAAGCCCTACTCTGTGACTGTGTATTCTAGGGAGCTGGCCAAGCCCTCTATATACCTTTTACTAATATTCCACTTAGAAGGTATATTGACGCGTTGACGTGTTTCCTAGAACGAAAATATAGCGATAGAGGCGATTTCACCTTATCTCTCCAAGCGGAGGATCAAGCGTAGGGATGAGGGGAATCGAGCGATTTAAGCCTTCAACAATATATAGTAAACCAGAATAATACAGAGACAGACTTTAGCGGCTAGACAGGCATATATCCCTCCTTCGCAAGACTGATCCGAGCATGATAGCGTAAGCGGCTAATTACCAGAGGAAAAATCTCGTTTTCCAGTGATATAGTCATTGGTGAACCATGGATGTCCTTTCTTAATGGCATTTACAATTAACTCTTGAGTTCATTATCATCGGACCCAATCTGGCAAAAGTTATGCCCTCTAGTGAACCTCTATGTCTTTCAACGGCGGCCTTGCTTCTTTAGTTGAAGAGCACGATGACGGCATCAGTTGGCGCCATCACACTGACGCGGCCGCCTCGAACCCTCAATGATTTGCTGTTAGATAGTATGTGTGTGTTAGGTCCAAATACCACCGGGACCTCAAGTTGCGACAACCCCTAGGTGAAGAGTAGCAGCAAGAATATCCTGGTTGCACCCAGCCCCCGCCAAATGACATAGTTTGATGTCTGGCTTTCGGTCTCCAGTCGATACAGGCCATACAGATGATCGTATAGCTCCGCCTCCACCCGTTCTGCTAGCTGCGGGACACCATATATAGATAGTTCGTGGATCAGCGAGGGCTTACACAGGGGCGCTCAGCAGGCTCTATAAGCTTATTAGGCTCGCTCTTTTTTTTCTACGACGAGAGCCATGCCTTCAAAGCTCTCATAGAAAGGTTGGCGGTTTCAAGCTATTTATGGTTATAGCCCTAAGTTCGCTTCCAGGCTTCAGCGCCTGAAACTTGGCGCCCAATTCCGTGAAGATAACGGCGGCGAGTCACAGGCTCAAAGTAAGGCTGGTTTGCTTCCCAGGAGACAGAATTCTCCTCTGCCACGCATCGTTTTCTTTTCTTTATTCCAGACATTTGGCTTCTAGCTGACCATATTGACTTTAATCAATATCCAAATCACGTGCTAAGTGATGTGTTAATAGCGAGATAATACGATATTCAATAGGGCTGTAGGCGTCTTCCTGAGGAAACCAAGTTGCGATTTTCTGTTGGTCCGAATCCTTTGATTCCGTCATTCCACTTGTGCTTTCAGCTCAGCTCCCCTTTTTTTTGTATCAGCTCATGTGGCTTGATTCCGTTCAGCTCTATAACAACAGGCCAAACCTATTGGTAGATATATCTTTCGGATGTTTCCATATTGATAGCTATCTCTTGGATCTCCCTTTGACACTGTCATATACAATTGCCAAAGCAACCTATTTGTCCGATAAACGTGTGTTAGGGCCTAGCCAATCGAACTACTAATAGGGGGGCCATACCTGGCTACCTCCCAATTGTTTGCCGTGATGCAATCGACAAAATCCTGTCCGCCGTGGCTAGATCTGACGCATTATAATCAAGATCAACCGGTACTGGTATCGCAGAGCGAAGCTGGCTATTTACGTGAAATGATATACCCCCGTGGCATGTGCGCCTGTCTCAGCCAATATCTTTCTTTTGTCGCTGTATGTCACAGCGCACAGGGCCTGAAAGACTCGCATCCCTGAGGATTTCGCTCAGATACTACCTGACTCGAAGTCGAGGCATGATAGCACACAGCGCTGCGTATGCCATGTCCTGTGTGGGATGAGGATCAGGGTCCGAATAGTACTTGGTCATATTATAATACAGGATTGTAAATGTAGCAGGAGAACAAAGAGTTTTGATTCACTAGAACTACCTAGGGAGGTCGCCTGACGACGTACCCGCAGGGGTCCTTTCACAGGACCTTAGTGACTTGTGTCGATACCGGTGACTTCTAGTCTCTATTCAATAAACGTGCCGTGTTGCCTTTCTGTGAGATCCTCGTTTGCTTAGCCTAGATGGTACTTCTCCAGATGAGATCAGGTATATCGGCTCGACTGCATGCACCGGATTAGAGAGATTATCTCCTCCGGTCTACGAAAACTATAAGCATTCTCAAAAGATACCAAGAGTTTCTTCGGCCGGTTTCCACAGTTAACCGGTGTAGGATGGTAAAGATACGGAGATATACCCTTCGTCAAAGGCCCCTCTATCCTAGTATTCTTTTTTTTTCTCTTCACTTTTCTGGTTTCTCTTGGGAATACATACGAGCTTCTCGGGCTTCATTTGATATCAATCCTTGGTTCACCAAATGACTCCAAGAAGAGAGAAGAACCGTTGAACGGGAGAGGCAATCCTCCTAAACTCAATATTCACACTATAGACACTAATCCCTATAAAGTGTGGTTTCGGACCGACAGAATTGCCCGACAGTCATGCATCTACCGGGGCCTTATCCGGTGTTTATTTTGTATTCATCAATTGCCAATTGATTGAATCGTGGATGCCTACACAGCATCGCGTTCACAGGGGTGGGATCACACCATCTAGAATGGCATATATTTCTAGATATTTGTCTCGGGTTTAATTAAGCAGAGGAAGTTACTAAAGATTGCTTATCAAAATCTGTCTTCTTCATCCTTTCTGCAGAACAAGAGGATCTACAGACTCCGTTTATAGCCGGAAAGACCCGCAAGAGGCCAACTAAGTACCATTGGCAATCAATCTATAATCAATCACACTATAACTACGTAGTAATGATATATAATGCTAATATGCCAGGCCCAAGATCGACTGGATTGCCCGGCTCCAACGATTATAGTAGGTCGTAGGTATTAGTAGTGACTTACTCTCATTCCTTCGGGATATTTTCTGTCATTGGCAGCGTTGTGAAGGATTTTCTGTGCCTGTTCCTTCTAATTTTAATTTTTTCCTTACTATTCCGGATTGATCGTCCCATTGTCGGCTCTGGTTCTATGATTTGTCATTGCTTTCCTGGACTTAGCCACAAATAGCGGTCAACGAGAGGCTACAATAGCACGCAGTTAATTTATCTTCCGTGTCCGCTGACACATTTTCTCCGTAGATGAAACCGCAGTTCCTAGACATGGGGTACGTAGTCCGAACTATGTCAATATGGAGGTTACCTACTAAGCGAGACTACTACTAATACTTAGTGCTAGTATCGTCAAGAATTTTGGAACCCACTTAATAAGAATGGAAGGTAAAACCATTTACCTAGCCTGGTAAGTCCTGGCACATGACGTACCAGAAGTGGACCGGGAAGATGCAGGGGTACCGAAATGGGAATCCCACGTGGATGACACCTTGTCTTCAACGTGAAAACCCAATCGACCTGATTGGGCCTTTCTCTATCTGGAGAGGCATCTCTGCCTAATTCATCACCGTCAGTCCTAATCGGTAGGTAGTACTGACTTAGGTAGTTGGGGCGGGCGGAAGTTTCCGCAGGCAAAGAAAGGAGAGCGAAAAATAATACTACTTAATTCATACCGAACCATTTTTAGTGTAGCAAACCATTGTTTGATGCCTTTCGCCGGTGGGCTGGACTATTCCCGGTTCCAGCATAGTTGCTGGAACCCGTCCATCGATCTTCAACGGTCTGGCAGATCATATACCGGATCCGGTAAGGTTCTACGACTCAATCGGAGACCGAATGTCTTTCTTGAGGGTTGAACTGGGAATTGTGTGGGCTCATGAAGAAGAGCAGATGTGTTGCTTCCCGGACCCGAAGCATGGGACCATGGGACGCGCTGTGGACAAGAGGGGGTTCGCGACCAAATTGTCGGGACCATGGTTAGGGGTGAAACATGATTAGTGCTATTCCAATCAATGTACTCCGTATGTACTCCGTATATCGAGTCTCCCTTTTATATATATATATATATATTTGTAAAGGGTTGTGTTGAGTCTGGCTGACTACCGACCGTTGTTCGCGGGCGGTACGTGCGTGCATCGCTTGCGGCTTGCATGGCCCTGTACGACGTTGGACAAGGGACAGGTACCCGTTAGGCTTTGCCTTGAAAGCTGGCGCTGTCTTATCGCGCTATCGGAAGTGCAGGGTGGTTAATTAAAGATTCTCTAATCCCGGTCCATCGAAGACCCCAGCTTACTGGGAGCCCATGTAGAATACCCACTGGCCAGATGGGATCCCGAACTACGGAGTCGTTGGAGAAAGCCTAGCAGGATCGATAAAAGTGCCACCGCACGTGGAGACCAGTCGATCGTCTGATCCTGAAGAAAGAGGTCTCGGGTTGAGACACTCGGCCCAAACTCTGTCATTGATATATACCCATCGATAGGAGCCAGAGGGTATATCCGAAGATATTAAGATGTGGAATTGATGAGGCGGTGGAGTCGTGATGTTACCTACCTTGCAAATCCCGTCTAGCAATTTCTCCATCAGGGGCCAGAATCGCGTGCGATGTCGGCGTTACCTCGTGGAAAATGCCCAGTTTCCCAAATCAGAGTTCATGGAATTGTTTTTCCCAAGTGAAAGGCGCGTCGGTTGGCGTTCGCCGAGAAACGGCCCCAGCATTTAATTGCGATGGACCAATCACTGCCTCTGTGGGGAATAGAAGCGAAGCCGTAGGAGAGGCAGAGGACGGAGGAAACTGACTGATATGCCTCCGAGATGGGGTTTTGGATCAAGTGACACATACTTCGTAATAGTATCGGCCTGACCATCCGTTAACTTGGTCGATTAATCTATTTTCCTTTTTGACTTATGTCTAAGCGCAAGTCTAAACCCGCCCTCAGTGGTCGATCACTGGCGCCGATAGGGACGGCCACGCGCAGACCTGGACACCAAGCCGACGAGGATGATGTATTCGATACGCTTTCCATGCGAGCGCGTTCCGGCCGAGCGGTTATCGAACATGAAGGTTCTTGATCCTGGCCGATCCTTACCGTGGACGTCACCAACCACACCATCTGCTCTGATTCGTGGTAGAATGGTAAAAACAACGTGTCATATCCGTTTGCCTGACCTTCATCGCCGAGGCGCTTCGATCGAGTATTTCCCGCCAGTGTTTCAGTGTTGGCGTTGGTGCGCCGAGCCATGTGATAGAATCATAATATAGTTGAAAAAAAAAAAAAAAAAAATAACCGTATTCGCTCCCAACAGACTGGTTGGATGCCTTCCAACAACAAGGTTCTCAAGCTTGCATCGAAAGGTGTCCGCCATGGTCCGGTTTGTTATCTACGGAGATGTCTTGGCCTGGATGGGGGGGGTTTTTTTTTTCTCCTCTTCTTTTTAATTTGTTACAAGTTCGGTTCAAGTCAGTATTTTGGTTGATAATTGAATAGAATGGGGTGGGGACCAACCATGAGTGCAAGTGTGGAAGAACAATCCAGAACCTAGAAAATGGGTTGATTTTGTTTCTCTTTTTTGCTTTTTAGTGTTTTTCATCCCTAACTTTTTTTTCCCTGAATTTTTCCATGGTTGTCCGTTTTTCTTTTGTCATCTTCGTATTTGTCTGGTATTTTGTATGGTTTTTCACTAATGGTCGGGGTGAATCCCCTAATAGCAAAAAGTAATATAATAATACGAATTGTCTTGATCGAAAAAATGCGGATCCCCCAATTGTGGCTGGCGACGCCTAAGTCGGTGGGGGCCAAACGAACGCGAGAGAAAAGCGACCGACAATTATTTTCCTTTCCTTTCCAAAAGTCGTCTACGTACGGTGTATAATTTCTCACCATCACGCAGCCATGAGCGGGTACGTTGACTTCTTGGTAGGTTGAGAAATGGGTCTCCATTCCAGGGACGTTAATGGATTGTGCCATAGTTAGAACGCTAGATATGGAGTGAGCCCATGCACCCGTTAATGCTAATTACCTCAGGGAAGGGTCCCTCCCCAACCTGAACCACCCATGACTGCTTATCGCCATGTGGTCCTGGGTCCTGATCTCAAGCACCCGTCTCCCTATCATGACGATCCTAAGCCCAGAACCTGGCTCCACGTATGCCAGCCGGCGCCGTTTCCTCCTGGTCCGGTACCCGCCCTAAGTTAGACGCTTAGTTCCAAAGTACGAATCGGGTACATGCTAACCACCCTGGCCCCCAATTCAATAAGCAATAGCCGGCCAAAGAGAGACAGGGAAAAAACGGGCACCCTACATGGCGTCCATTAGCTCCTTGGGGCTGAAAAACAATTTACGCTTCCCCAATGCCGGGGCCAGGAGCTTACCTCCCCCGGTCCCTTACGACGGATCCAGCAGCTTGTTCTTGTTTCTCACCATGCGCTTCACCAAGGATCCGCCGTAACCTTGGGTCCATCGAAAATTCGTAGACATTTCCAATTGCCCGCCCAGCACGTATCATTCTATTCGGAGCATCCCAGGCACGGTAGGGTGGAGCTAGGCGGGAAGGTGCGGTTCCCGAATAGCCTGCCTTTTTAGTTCAGTCGAATCATTTCCATGGTTATCTTAGGATGTCGGAAATCGTTGTGCAGAACTATTCTGGATTGAGTATCCCGAGTTAGATCTTTGACCCCGTCGTGAACGCTTGATGACAGAGGAAGAAAACGGGGGGAAAGAATTAAGAGTTGACAGAGCAATTTCATCAACAATGAACCTTACTCCATTGGTGTGGACCTTTTTCCCTTTTTATTTTTATTTTTTTTCCTGGCTCTGAACTTCTCCCCCTCCTCTTCCAAGTCCAAGAAGAGAACTTTTTAAAAAGTTCAGGGAGAAGGGGCAAAAAAAGGAAACACAATGTCTGCGGCCAGTCAGTCAAACGGCAAGATCATCGACGTTGGCTCGCGTTTTAGGACAAAGTCTGACAGGCCTCACTTAGGCAAGTGGCAGTGTGAATCATGCTAACTAAAAGGTATTAGAAATTAATTCTAGGCAAATCAAAAATAGAAAAGAAAAAAAATAGGCGAATTGGATAATAAACGATCACCTTAAAGTAAAACCGGACTTACCATAAGCTGAGCTGTAGACTTAGTACTAAATCAGAACGAACTATCTTTGGTCCTCCCCCCAGACTAATCTGTTTATTCGCTTACCCTCGTCCGTTTTTCTCCATTTGTTGACCCTAGGACGTTTAAATAGTCGCCTTTGCTCTGATTTCTGGGGATGGCTTCATTGGTTTCCGTATAATTTTGCATTATTTTTGTCAACAGGGTTCAGTTGTTGGACCTCGATATTACCGCCGTGGTTGTCGAAAGGATTCAGTCTGCGCTTGTATCTTCTATACTGTAGGTCCAGTGATCATCCCCCTCACCATTCCCTCCCTCACTTTCCCCTTCTCCCACTATATGATCATCAGCCTTATATGTATGTGGTCTCAAGACTTTTACTGTTCTCTCCCCCTCGAGCATTGTACTTTGTCTAAATTCAATACCATTCCCATCCTCTGTCTTGCTAAATCAGTGTACTATACCACTCAAATGTCCTCCATAACACTGGAAACACATCACTTGCCTAACTTTTCTTATCATAATCGCAGACACCTGGCTGGCTCTCCACTGCGGACTCTGAGTTTCTCTTCAGAATCATCCGCTTCTTCTTTCGGACTTCGTCCGTCGACTTGGATTGAGCCTTTACCGCCGCGGAATACTAATCCGCCGAGTGCCTCGGGCTCGTATTGGGGTCTACAGAGTCCAGCTGCACTCTCCGACTTCGGGATTTCTCAAGGACAGGATCCAGCAACCAGACCTAGTAGCAACTCAAGTTCCTCGCCATCGTTTGAATCCACCCCGGTCGTTTTTGGTACTCTGCTTGGTTGTGAATCAGACTGTTTAAGGCCAGAGTACAATAATCCACCGCGCTCTGGTCTATCCAAGCAGATCCAAGAGGAGTGCCCGATAGAAAACTCACTGTATGTTGGCCTCGATCTGCACCGAGTGCACTTATTAATAAGAAGTTCCATGACAAAGGTCACCGTGCTTTGAGGTCCCTATCCAAGCACAGCTGAAGGCCGACTTGATGGCAATTATGGCAGATAATAACACACACAGTACGATACCCCAAACGATACACCTGCCCAGGTCCATGACATTCAGAACTAACTCCATCTAGGTTATGGCTGGCAAAGCCGGCCATCACATCCTCTTCATCCTTCCTCGATGGCTATGGACCAACAACCGTTTCCCCAACCACAGACTCTCCCACCATCGACTGGATACCACGTCGGATATCATACTCCGCAGACCACAACGCAAGGCTTTTATCAGCCGGGAATTCCGGCACCTCAATATCTTTGCTCGCCACATCCAGGTCTGCTTCAAAGCCGACAGCATCCCCGAAGGTAGGCCATCTCCCTACAACCACTATTCGTGAGGCCAAAGTTCCTAACTTTTAGCATTGTATAGTTCTTCCATTCCATATGCCTTCCCCAGCAGCCACATTGCAGGCAGCCCACCAACAATAGCGGAACAGTCGTTCACTTCATCGTAAGGTGGCCAGGGTATCTAAAAAGAAATCACGACACTGACTAGCTTCTAGGCCTCCCTCATACTTAGTTAACCATCAAGAGTATTATTATTCTCAGGCTCCTTCGCTATCGTCAGTCACCCAACACTCATCATTATGACTTGTACACTGACATTTGAAGTTCAAGGTCAAATCCAAGCTCTTTAGCAGTGAGCCCTCAGTCACAACATATAATGACACCAGGAACAGTATACTCGTCTCCCGATACAGCACCGGCAGGCTCAGACGCAGATCAACAAGTCCGCGTCATTAGCTTCCGACCGAAACCGCAGTGCTGGGACCACGGATGCAACGGCCGTGAATTTTCAACTTTTAGCAACCTACTCCGTCATCAAAGGGAGAAGTCAGGCGTGGTTGCCAAGGCAGAATGCCCCAGCTGTGGTGCCGTATTTACGCGAACAACTGCTCGAAACATTCATGTCTCTCAAGGGAAATGTAAAGGTGGAGGGAGGGAAACATCAAGCGAGTGATGACTGCGCCCGTGAGGGAGTGAATTCTCCATCGAATCCCAACGACCTACTTCTACAACAATACTGTTCAACTCGGAGCACCACGTTGCCTTTTCCAAAGTCACTTTCAAATGACTGCAGCGAAACAAGCTCGTCCCCCCCGATACCCTCACGGGAGCGGAGTTCGGCGGAATGGGGGCCCTGGAACATTTCAACAGCGACCGAATCCTCGATTCCTTTCAGAGTAAGGATTTAGCGAGTCTACAAAAGACATATAGACAACTCTGCATTCATATCTACATACATGGTGGAGTAAGGGGGCACTAAATTGACTGATATAGTGATATATATTGTACATATTTTCTTCTTTGGCTAAGCATACACTATACACTTCCAAAGTATAGGCGCGAACCATCTACGCGCTCAAAGATCTCGTCTGATATTTCAATTCTGATAAGTGCATGGCCTAAGCACTAATGCTGATAGTCAAATTCTATCCATGCGTACTATATTTTCTCCGGAAGGAAGAGAAAGGGCTGTATTCGCAGGCCAGGGAACCACATCCTCGCCAGATGCTGACATCATGCCTCAGGCGCGTAACCACCACGTGGCCCTTCGCATGCTTACATCACGCATCACCTGACCGGATCATGTCATCCAGTACAACAAGGCGATGGGATGCCAGGGAACAGCAAGTGACTCACTGTATGCTCTCCACCATGCCGTTGGCGTCCTTTTAAGTGTCAACTGCCCATGTTTGTATGACTTTCCAGGACCTTCTCTTTGGAAGGACTTGTCTAGCTTCCGGCCAATTGCGCCCACAATTACATCTCTAACGTCGATATTCTGGTACCCCCAAAATGACTCAATTATCAATAGCATTCTACAACCTATGTAAAGTATCCCAAGCGTGCTGGCACTTACACTGTTTATTACCCCCTCGCATACCTCGGCCTAGCCTGGTGCCTATCTGAGTCACTTTCTGTTCAACCGCTTGCTTCATCACGCTGTTCCAATAAACAACTACAGCTTGCTTTTGACATACACTGTCTTAAGGAGCCCGAAGCATGGCGTCTATCTTTACTTACGATCCCGACCCTCCAAGGGTCTCTTCTCCGTGGTCTACCTCCGGATCCTCCACCCCACAGGTAGCTGGGACAGGGGCCCGCACAGTGACTCGGAATCATTCCGCTACCAATCTGGATCGCCCAGACTCCAATGTCTTATCTGACTACGGTATCACGAAGCTAGAGCCGGAGCCGCAAGAAGGGCCAACTGAGTACAAGCTGCATCTTCTTCTTCGAGCAAGGAGACTCTATACAGCTATGTCCACCGGTCATCTCGTTGGCGGTTCCTATCACTCCCGCTTGCCTTTGTCTACCTCGGTTCCAATGTCTTCTAGTTCTGAAGCAGCCTCGAAGCAGTTTCAAGTTCGCTCTACCCAGAGCCGTCAACAGCGATTGCAACAACTGACCACTCAACTTCTGTGGCGTTTACAGCAGTCTTCGCCTTTCCATTCCTCTACTGTTGCCAATCTTGTGCTCCCCGTTCTCCCAGAGACAGCATTGGAACCTGGAATCCTTCAGAAACCGGCTCGCTTACTCCCTGGTCTTGAGGAGAGTCAGGGTGCTCTGTACGAGATCGGGGTTGCTGACGATGGCACTTTTGTCGGACTCACTCATGACGAGCTGGACGAAAGCCTGTTGAATTTACAGGTGATGGCAGGTAGCCTTGGTTGCAAGGTCGAAATTCTTCGCCAGGTAATCGTTGGGAACTGCGAATGGACCGAGGACGCATGTGCACCAAATGCTGAAGTTGCCAAGGTTCATGCGGAAGATCTTTGGGTTGCTGAGGCTCTTGTGAGTCCGGACTGGGACTATTACCGAATTGAATCGCCAAAGAATGGTTCCTACGAGGGCAAGTCACCGTCACTAGCGGCCAGACAAGGAGGGCTGGAGGGCGATCACTCAAAAACGGAGCAAATACGAATTTCCATCACGGGCCCAACTACAGCTGGAAAATCGTCGCTTCTGGGCACACTGACCTCATCTGTCCTTGACAATGGAAGAGGTACCAGCAGACTTGGTCTTCTTAAGCATCGGCACGAAATTTCTTCCGGGATCACGAGCTCAGTTGCACATGAGCTGATAGGGTACGCCGCCAATGAACTGTCCGAGGACACCCTCGATGTAGTCAATTATTCATCGGGCAATGTTGCAGCGTGGGACGATGTACATGCAGCCTCAGCACAGGGACGTCTAGCATTCGTCTCTGACCTCCCGGGGTCAGTTCGTTATCTGAAGTCTACGCTTCGGGGCCTGATCAGCTGGGCTCCGCACTATGTATTGCTGTGTATTCCAGCAAATTGTGACGATGACGCCACAAAGGAGCCTCAACCTGACACCGGGGAGCAAACTAACGATGTCAACTTGGCATTGTCGCACCTCGACCTCTGCAATAAGTTAGAGATCCCTACAATCGTGGTGATCACTAAGATGGACCTTGCATCTCGTGCTAGCCTGAAACAAAATCTTACGAAGGTTCTGTCAGCATTGAAGCTTTCCGGCAAAAAGCCCGCCATGCTTCCTGTGCAATCTGGCAATTCTGAGGCATCACTAGACCTGCACCACGTCGGAACCAAGGATAATGTGGAAATCAAGAAGCTGATTGCTACAACAGAAAATTGGTCTTCCACCGTTCCAATAGTCCTTACAAGTGCTGTCGATGGCTCGGGAATAGGGAGGTTACATGCTTTGCTGGGAAATCTCCCAATCCCTGCAAGACCATCACTACGGACCATTTTTCCGTCGAAGGCACTGCCACCACCGGCACTTCCTACAAACATTTTCGATGTAGATGAGGTATTCGCCATTCCTCCATCGAAAGTCTACTCAATGTCCGCAGAACAGTCCTCAAAGGAGAACCACGGTGTGGTTCTCTGTGGCTTGGTCCGCTACGGATCAATTTCAATAGGGGACGAGCTGGTCATCGGGCCCCTTCTTGATAATGCCCTACCGGAACATGGAGGTAGGGTTCGTTCAGAGAGACGCTCAGACACCCAGCCTCAGTCTGAGCCTTTTCGGAGTAGACCATCATCGGGAGACTTTTCTACCTCGTTTGTCCAAGGATCCTTTCCGGGAAAGATACCCTACCCAACTCAAGCGCACTGGCAGCGTGTTCGAGTAGTCAGTGTTCGGAACCTGCGATTACCCGTCCGGAAATTAGTCGAAGACCAAGTAGGCACAGTAGGCGTGGAGCCCCTCCCCAGTTCCCAAGACGAGCCGCCTCCTCGGCTTGGTAGGGTTCGGAAAGGAATCATCCTGGCCAGCTTTCCAGCACCGCCTGCCAACTCCATTCCCAAGTCCCTATTATTCCACACGGGCTTTGTCGCGAGCTTTGATTCAAGTCAATTCGCTTCCTCACTATCCCCACCACTGCTACTGGGAGGGAACGCGATCGTATACATTGCCAACATTCGGTCCACGGTAAAAGTGACTTGTATGGCACTTGCGGATGACGAAGTCGTCTCTTCACCTCCTTCGCCAACAGAACCTGAGTTCTTCAGCTTCGATAGCGATGTTAATGACCGCGATAAAGGTAGCCAATCCGAACTAAACCATATGATCAGGTCTTCGGCCAATTCGGATGTTGGGGATGTCAAGATTACATGTTGTTTCGTGACGTCGGTTGAATGGGTTGAAGTTGGGTCTCGCATACTTCTCATGCCAGGAGCATCTACTGCATTGGTTTCTGCACATGGCTCAGGCTCGCCTTCCGGACTTGAGGGCTTTGTTGGCCGGGTTTGTGACGTGGTTTCCACCGCTGATTCCAGTAAATAGGATAAGTCACTGTTAGCTATCAAAGTTGTCTGATGTAGGAAAGATCATGAAGTTATATACCTAGGGATTTTCTTTTTGTTCAATATACACACGGATATCTGTTTCCCTGAACGCTTTGGACATAGTAGTGTGCTCCGTATAGTTGTCGCTGATACAGCGTAGAGATCATAGAACTAAGCAGCTGGCACGTGCGGTGTGGGGAAGGTGACTGATCGGCCTAAGGCGGCGAACGTGCCGCTGTTAGTGTGACTTTAAATGACCTCAGGCTCACGAATACCCCAAACTTGACCAACAAAGGAGTCGGCATCCCTTCCAAGTTCCGCAACCCAATAGCCTTGCTCAGCTCACGACGAGGTTGTGTAATATTCATGGAACCCGGGTGCTCCTAGCCAAAGCTATTTTGAAACAATTCGGGGTACTTCTGAATGTCCGACACTTGACCGATTTTGATTGGATAGGCATCATTCTGTGGCACGATCCATTTGGTGGTTCCGCCGCCGCATCCTCCAGCTATTCATTACTATTACCTACTACTACGTTTACCCCGGATTTGACCCGCCAGATTCCGCCGCAACCTCAACAATCAAACAATCAGGAGTTATTGCGACACAGGGAGCACGGTCTTCGTACTGACTCTGCTACACCCCACTTGGCTAGCTTATATTGGCCTTGTGATGTCCTATAGCTATCTCGAGTGCCTGTGCGCAGCTAGTACGCAATGACCTCGTCTGTCAATAATATGGCAGAGGCCAGCAGCGCGTACGCGGGTTTTAGAATTAGTACCGATTCAACTCAGCACTCAGACGACGACGATGAGTTTCTTTCAAGCGCGAGTACGACTTCCGAGGCGGGACAAGAGCATGTCGTGGAGTACAAGCAACCTGCGTTAGACTCCATGAATGACCAACAGGGGACCCTGTGTAACTCCTCAGCAGTACCATCTACGAAAAACTTGCAGGCTCAGGAAGTTGAAGCATCTGAGGTGAAACCGGTAGAAAATAGGTCTGTATGCGATGACAAAACTATGGGTGGTACCAGACGGCCTCTGCATTTGCTTGATCTCCCCATGGATATATTGCAGGTAATCATTAAAGAAGTAAGCACGGGTCGACTCCCCTTTGGACAGCCCAAGCAATCCGTTGCTAATTATAGTAATTTTCTTTGGCGATATAGGTGACGCATACCAACGACCTGACCTCGCTAGCTCTGACATGTTTCAGTCTGCATGCTTTGGCCATTCCTCAAATGTATTCTCGGTTTGATATCGTATGGCCAGAACCAATGTCACCGTCTGTTCATCCTACAGGTGTCGATGCTCTTTCATACGGACTGGCAACGTTAGTAATGGGCGAAGATGTTTTCCACGAGCTTCCCCCACCCCACCGTCCCATTGCGCCCTGTCATCACTGTGGCTGTAGCGCCCAGCATGTTCAACAAGGCTCCCGACTCGATACAGACGGCATACGGAGGATACGTCGAGGGAATCACTATGCACAATATACACGCAAGTTTTCTGTGGGAAATGGACCACCGGAGTGTGTCCAAGAGTACTCTGTGACGAAAGAAACGGGCAAAATGCTGGGGACTTTGGTAGCATTGGCTATCGCTCGCATGGTAAACCTAGAGTCTTTCATTTGGGATATGCCGACTGGGGTTTTGCGGGACGTTTGGATAGCGCTATCATCTCTAGCAGATCGACCGGGCCATGAATGCCGTCTAGAGCGTGTTTGGGTTCGTTGGCACGATAACTCCATGATACGTATGGTTCGGACTCCATCAGACATGACACTCCCGGGCATGCCGTCTCCTTTTATCTCGACATCCGCGAGGTCAACGCGTCTACAAAATTACGCCCATGTAGAGTATCCTACCCTGTCAATCTTACCCCCGCTGAAGAGTTTAAGCGTCCTCGATATAGATGAGTCGTCATATCTCGAGGAAATGGCTGTGCTCATTGAGCGCTCGCGAGAACGCTTAAAAGAACTGCGCATCGGAATTGCCTCGAGAGTATACCAGTACAATTGGCTGAAAGCATTAGGAGGCTGGTCTCCTGTGCAACAAGACACGTCCAACCCTGTGGTGTCCGGCTGGCCTAAAGTCGGTGGTGTACTCGGCATCCTCCTGGGTAATCCTCACACTCAATTTCCCTTTGAACTAGCAGCCGATCAGCCTTCCTCGAAAGAGGCGCAACCGGATCAGCATGATGGTCACCAAGGATCTAACAGGTCGGCTCCGCCAACTGGGGATATTGCTAGCAACGGCTCTTCTACTGGAAATTCGACTACACAACTCTCGGATACGGTACCTCTAGAGCACTCTCCTAAAACCACTGGCACTCCTAGGATCAATTGTGCAACATCTCCCCAAGCGACCGAGGAGCCACATCCCACCCAACCATCGAAACTTGGAGATCTACCAGAACCATCAAACAAGGGTTTGGGCGTCAACAGGCCTGTTGCATCCGCCTCAACGATAAGCCCTAAGTCTGACAGGTTGAAGTTGGAGGTCTTTGAACTAGAGCGCGTCTGTTTATCCATCCCCGTCATGATGCATGCTTTGGACTGGACCCGAATTACAACACTCACAATCCTTCGCTGTGATGGCCACGAAAAGCTCTGGAGAGCGCTGCGGCGCCAGTTTTCTCCGTCCGCTGCACTGCGCGGTAGTCCAACACCAGAAAATAAAGAGATAAATAACTCCTGGTCGGAGTACTCTCTAAAGCTCAAGCATATCCACACAGATGCTGTGTCCCCATACCTGCTACTCTTTATCAAGGATGCCATTGCGCCTAATACACTGGAGACCTTGTTTTTGCATGAGGCTCCGATGTACGACTCTATTGTTCATGTTGACGCAATCTATCGAAATGTGATCCGTAACCATCGGACGAGCTTGAAACATCTCTTAGTTGATAGCACAGAGCGGTCACCTGGTGGACTTGAGATCAGCACAAACCGCTGGCGTAAATGGATGTTCAGCAGGGAAATGATCTCCTTCATTACTAGCGGCCGTATGCCACGTCTGCGTGAACTATCGATGACGATGCATTCCAAGGATTGGGTAAATTTGTCTCTATCAATACTCTGTGGCTAATCCCGTGCTAACTCTCTTTAGCATTACTTTCTCCAGAGGCTCCCCAATATGCCCCAGCTACGTGCTCTGCATATTCCTCACATAACTAACCCTATTCACCGAGACCCGAAGGAACTCGCTTTACAGATCCTTGATATTGTTACAATTCGCCCCGAAGTTGGAATAAGCTATATTGGAATGATCAATAAGTGCTACGAAATCCTCGAGGGTAAGCGTGGTGAGAAAGACGACTTCGATGATGCGGACGACAGCCACAGCGAGGGCTTTGTCCCAGGTAGTGATGACTGGGCACCGTCTGACACAGACGACGATGATTCGGATGACGGCGGCGCCGGGAGTGCCATGGAGTCGAACTCGGAACTATCGTCAGACGACCACAGTTCATCAGATGGATACGATTCTGACCTCGAGAGCAGCAAATCGCGCGTGGCTTTTCGGCTACGGGAAATTCTATTTTATGATGATAAGATCTCCATTTTCAAGGCACGACACGGAGTTCTATGACCTGCAAACTTGCTCATTGCCACTGGCATGGTGTTGGGTGATTGGATTGGATTACTGTTTTTGTTCCACTTGTTCAGTATTATTGTTTTTTTTTTTTTTTTTTTTTTCTTGCGACCTTTGAGATACCATTTGATCGGATTGTGGCAGAATACAGTTCATATTCCTGTTTTTCTATTTGAGGTTGGCGCGATGTTACATGTTTCGGGTTATAACATTGCATGAGAATGACCGCTGCTACACCTCATACTTCTTTGAAGTGTATGCTTGATAGGCACATCAATAGAAGCTTTCCAGTTCTGGGATAACTTGTATAAAGGCTACATTAGGTTATTAACTCAACTTCTATGCACCATATGACTAAGCTATGCAAGTGATGCCTGCACTATGACTGAAACGTGAGGGCGGATGACTAAGCACGAACCACCTCTGCAATCACCGCCGCAAGACAGCAATCGCAAGGCTTGAAGATACATCTGGTCCCGCCCCAGCCTGCCAGTGTTCAGATAATAACTCTGTATTAATACTTACATTAATACAAGCACTCTTTCTTTGTTCTTATTTTTCGGTGTTTTGCGCGTACACATCACCATGAAGCTCGTCCGGTATGTTGCCCCAAGCTGTTGAAGAGCTGTTTCCACAAACAATTCGCGACCATAAGCTAGCCAACTGATACTGACATGGTTTGCTTTCAGGTTTTTGATGAAGTGCGCCAATGAGACGGTGACGATTGAGTTGAAGAATGGTCAGCCTCCCTCTGCCGCAGTTCTGGCAATCCCACTGATTGCACTCGTACACGTTCTGTCAGATGTCTTTTCTTTTTTGTTGCTTCTAACACTTAGCTCCAGGCACAATCCTCCATGGCACAATCACATCGGTCTCCCCGCAGATGAACACCTCGCTGCGCACCGTCAAGATGACCCCCAAGGGCCGCGACCCTATCTCGCTCGACACCATTAACATTCGAGGCTCGACGATCCGCTACTACATTCTTCCGGACAGTCTGCCACTGGATACTCTCCTTGTCGACGACCAGCCGAAGCCTAAGAACAAGGCACGCAAGGAGGCTGACCGCGGCGCTCGCGGCGGCCGTGGTGGCCCTCGCGGCAGAGGCCGTGGACGCGGCCGGGGACGTGGACGTGGATTCTAAATGGGAACATAGACAATGACTAGGAGTTTTTCTCTTCTTCCGATTTGATTCGTTTTGGGTGATATCTGCGATGGTTTCATTTTTGCACCTCGAGGGTTCAGCTTCTATTATTCCTTTGTGCGATGGGGCGGGAAAAAAGAGAGTACTAATTCACTTTTTTTTTTCTTTTCAATAATCTTGTCGGATTCGGGTCGTATGCATCAGCGGCGGAGGGAACGCTTGAACTCAGCGAGACTATCGAACGTTATATGCGGTTGTTTTTGGCACGGTTGACGGACGGCCATACCTCGGGTCTCGTGCAAGCTCAAGGCATGATAGGCTCTTGTCGCGGGGAGAGTGGATTTTATCACGCATGAACGAGGAAGCGAGATCATCGGACATTGCGAGCTGATATGCGTTGGTGGGAGGATCCATGGATCAACATATTAAGAAGTCGGTGGCATGGCCTGCCATAGGACACTTGAAAACGATATCTCGCAGAAATTTGATAAACCTTGGGAAAGAATATGTGATGGATAACAACGTCCATCTGCCTGTAAAACATCACTCAATCAGTCATCTCGGTCATTAGTCTATTGCTCTATTTTTGATGTCTATATATCCGTACTCTATCATCATCAGATCACGACGTTTCCTTCCATATCCGAACAATAACCAACTTCTCCCACCCAGCCTGCTGACCACTGTTCCCAACTGTCTCTGCCTGCCATCCATCCCCCCAAGCCCTGATCCTCTCTTTGACCTCCTGCGGCCGATTCTGCGCACAGAACAGCACATATGCCACCCCACGGCCAGGAGTCAACAGCCCCGGAATCTCCTCCAACAACCGATCCGTCGTCTCCATCCCATCTCTTCCCCCAGCATACATCAGCGACAAGAAGTACGAGTCGCGCTCAAACTTCGCAGACCGCGACATCCCCGCCTCGTCGACATCCTGTTCCGTGACGGCGGGTAACCGGGGCAGCTCCTCACTGGGCACATACGGCGGATTGAATAGAAGTACATCCACACTTCCTGGGCGAAGGGCGCTCCCTAGATCGGCCATGACCGAGGACAGATATACCGTCTTCTGACCGTTGGGCTCTTCCGATTCATTATCGGTCTGTCGTTCTTTGATTGCTTTATTGGCTGTTTCACGGGTCGCGATGCAGGCATTCCGATTCACGTCTATCCCTAGAGGGAGGATATCGCGCCGTCCGAAGATCACTTGCGAATTGGCTGCTACGAAGCCTAGCACGACGCCCGAGCCGGTTCCAAGCTCAACGACGAGGGGCGAGGCGGTGGATTGGTCTGGGGACGAGGGGGTCGTGTTGAAGCGCTGCGTGAGCCATGCTGATTCGGACGGCGAGGCAAGGGTGTCGAGGAAGAGGTAGGAATCCTCGGAGGGTTCGTAGATGGTGTCGAAGGAGACGTGGGATGTGCACGGAGTGGGGAGCATTTTCTTTAATCGCCTGACAGGATTTCCTTGGTATATTACCACACCACTTGGCAGTGATCACTCCAAGCACCCAATTATGAATATAAAACCGCCGTCAATAGAATACCAACGTACACTGTTCAACTCTTCGTAGCAATATGATAGTATACCATCAATAAAATGCACGATAGTTTAACGTCTCAATCAGATAACCCGATAAAAAACCTAATCCCAGACCTCCAATTGGCCAATCGCTCTCCGCCTCCACCGAACCGCGGCAATACCATCATCATCATCGACCATATCGCAACAACTCTCGACAACACAACCCACCCAACAGAAACCCCCCCAATTAGACATAACCTCCAAGATGCGCGCCCTATCCCGCCTGCTGATGGCCACGCCCTCGACCATGGGCTCCAAGTCCAGCCTCAGCGAAGCC